GTGTGTGCTTGTGTGTATTATAAGGAGTGTATAGGTACTGTGTGGGTGTCACTCCTCCACCTTCAGCCCGGACACACTGACTTGTGTGTGGCTGCATCTAGAAGTGATTCAGAGTATTCAGACTCTGGCATCCTCCCACTTTTGTGTGGAGAGCAAGCTTTAGCGAGCTATCAACCGTGTAGCAAACTGCAGCATTGCCGACTTGCTGAGGCTTTTAGGTCCCAAACCCTGCTGGTGAGCTGGTGACCATAATTCTGGAGAAACACGCTGCAAACCTATCAATCCTGGGGTTTCAGCGGGAAGGGAACACTCCTGTGGGATCTCGATCTACGCCTTGTCAACACAGACTGGTGTGGACCCGGTAGAGGGACGTGAGCCAAGCAGTGAACCTCAAGACCCAGGCGTAGAACCTCAAACGGATTCAGCAATTGCAGTCCTGCGGGACAGAGCTAGACCGGGAACCACAGCCAGGGTGGCGAACCATCAAGTCAGTCAAGACGAGACCCACGAACCCAGTTGAACTTTTGAAAGCTAATCGTTTTAATTGATCTGTTTGTAAACTTTCTGTGTAAAACATACCAATTAATAAGTTGAGGAAAATTGAGGAGTTCTAGAGCGTCACAAGAAAGTAAAGTGTCACAGAAGTGTCTTTTCAGTGTACCTTTAGAGTAAAACAATTATGTACCAATTTATTTGAAGTTGTATTATTCTTGTGTGTCACAAGAAAGAAAAGTGTCACCGACAAATCTAGTGTGTCACAAGAGTAAAGAGTCACCGACAGCTAGTGGGTGATTTTCGTTTTAATTCTTCCAATACTCAAGAAAGATATTTAGTGTTAGTTAAACTTTAAGCGTCAGGGAATTGTAATTATTAGTTAATGTGCTTCTATCAATAAAAAATTAATTGTAAATAAAGAGAAGCTTTAGTGTAATTTATTTGGCTCACTGCAACCTGACAACTTCTCTTCTAAGAGCTACATATTCATCATTAAACCAGTTAGGTATCTTTATGTGTTTATAAAGAGCATGTTTATCACAAATTTGTATAAAGGTATTCTCAAAAGTTCTCCAGACCATTTCAGAATCACCATATGATTGCAAACCTGTCCAGGGAGTATGTCCAAGGTCGTCCGTGAAGCTATTTTCGTTAAAGGCACGATATGACCATAGAGCTACAACCCACCGAGTCCTCATGCTGCGCAGAGGCCTCTTTGGATGCTTCGGCGTCTTACGAGCTGTATAGATCAGGGAGTTGGCACCAATGTTCACTGTTAGTACCCCAATACTCGCGTACATGTTTGGATGGGTAGTCCATACATGATCAATTAAAGTTTCTGAGGTACCTGTTACCCTTGTAGGTTTGGAGATAATTTGCGTAAGTTGTCTTGATGACATTAAATCCTGCAATTGTTTATATTTCCAATCACTAGGTTTCAATAAATCACAGTTAAAATCCCCAAGACAAGCAATTTCCCCTGGTGTTCAGTTAGAAGTGCTGAATCCTATTATCTCATCGAGTATAGCTCCTCAAAGAACAAGTGCAGGCTTTCGGTCCGTATGATACCAGCATAAACAGGGCGGGTACTTGGAAGACTAAATTTCATCCATAGGGTCTCAACCTTTGTAAGTTGGACGTCTAGCAGATGTATCTGATGAACACATTATCTGTTGTGGACGTACATGGCCACACCACCATGCTTGTCTCCCGTCTTTACGCAGTACCCTGTAGTTCTGTATGTGAATCTCTGTGTCCTCGATCCCGTCATACATCCAAGTTTCAGAAATAGTCAAAATATTAGAATTACTTTGGAATACCAAGAGGCACAACTCGTCCAATTTTGTATAGAGAGACTGGGTATTTAGATGCAAAAATTTAATCCCTTTATGTACCTTCATGTCGGATTTACTTCCAAATGTTTTAGTCTTAGACCAGTTGGGATTAATATTTTGTGCACGCTGATGACAAAAGACACACGAGGCGCACAATACACGTATCTGGTGTTGGGTGAGTTGAAATCGTCACCGAGTTGATGTTTCACAGATGACTGATGCAGGAACAAGTACAGAATACAGCACAGCAGAGTGCATGGGGCAGCCATATTTACACAGTCGTAGGCAATGTGTTGAGGGAAACCTCAGCCAAAAATGTCATAAACAAGTCAAAAACTACACAAAATATTCATCACAGGTAGCACTAAATACAGTTCAATACATTCATCACTCCAAGTAAAATGGATGGCGCAAGTAAACGATGATAAAACCAGATGAAAAAATCGACTGAAGAAACAAATTAAAATGGCAGCTCCTGTTGAGGAGGGCATCTGTACATACACATACACACATTCATACACACACAGGCACGAGTACATCATTTCTAGGGAAAAAAGTGGGGAGGGGGAGCCGCGTCTCCGCACCACTCTTGGAGCAAGCCCCTGACCAGAAACCGGAGACTTTTTGGCCTAATGCCTTGTACTAGCGTAATTGCTTGGGAGAGAACCCAAGTACACGGTTGTCAATGTGTGGGAATGGCGGCGAAAGCCTTAGATAAAACAGAGTGGCAAGAAATGGTACGCATCTCACAGAGTTATCAGCTCTTTTAAATTAGCAAATGTTCACATAGTGTGGTAGAGCAGGGTATATGGTATTTTGATGAAAGAGGGCATTTCAGTAAAAGCAACAATTACGCTGCAGAAAAAGAGCACTGAGAATGTATAAAACTGAGTGGCTTACGTAGACAAACAGTACCGCAATCACGACATCTTAGTTAAACGGTTGAAGAAACTGTTCTAATTTGATTCTGCTGGCTTGTACACGACGACCGAGTCCCAATCAGTGTTCATCAATATCGCTCCATTGTCTCTCTCTGAGCAATCGCTACTGGCGAGATACTCCATCACCGACCGACGCAGGTCATCGGACGCCGCCCCCCTGAAGTCCACAACATTGGTGATGAAATCCACAAGCAGGCCGCCTTCCACCGAGGCTCGGTCAAAGCAGTCGGTAATGTCCACGCGGACGCGCTGGTGGTGCAGGTGGCGTGCGTGTGGGATGCTTTGCTGGTCTAAGGAGCCGCAAATGTCGGTGGAAGTTTTGGTGTTATGGTTACGACCTTGAAGACACGGAAAGCGAGTTCTGAACCGACTCAGTCCGCTGTTTTCTGAAAAGAATAAGGAAAGTACTGCTGATGTATACAAACAAGGATGCGTTTGTACGGGTTTTGGGGGACCAGTTAACCGTCTTTTTTAATCAAGTACAAGCCGATCGGCCAGTAGCCTTGCAATCCCAACAGACTTCCATCTCTACTATCTCTATGCAGCCACGCTATGCTCTAAGAATCAACACAATTTAAGAGACTATCTGTATCTCATCCGTTTATGCCACTGATGAATGATCAGCGCTTTGTGTCCATAAGTTGAGAAAATGGCTCGTAAAATAACATTTAAAGCCTGGAATGTCATGTATATTAAGCCATTTCTGTATCGAGTATGCGGGTATTCGTCACGACCTTATTAGCACTATAAGCAGTGTCAATAGGTCACCCAAACTTCTAATGTACAGACTTTTTCAGGCCACATTAGATGCAAAACACAATTGCATTACAGCTTATTGAAAAAGGAAGATGTTTAATATTTCCACAGGATGTGGATAATTTACACTGGCAGTTTACTATCAAACTTTTACCTGACAAAAGAATCGTTGCTAATACTCCGCCGGGAACTAAACAGTTGTACAAATACATCAGTGTGCTGTCAAAGTTGTCAACATAGTACATGGAGTGAACAGCGCTGATGACGTGAAACTTGGTCAGGTTTCCCGCCTCTTCATACTGCTCGATCGTTTCATGCCGCCAGTCACACTTAACGCCTTGTAAGTCGCCAGCCTTCGATTGAACCAACGCCTGGTACTTGTCTACCAGCTCCTGAGAAGGCTCGACAACACGATTATCGATGCGAGGAAATCGCTTCGAGAGCTTCTCCAACATTTTACAATCCATTTCACCTGCAAAAGCCATTGTAAAATGAGATTTGCAAGGAACGGACGGTAAGATTTCAAGAAGTTGCATCTATTGAAGTCAGATTCTGAGTAAGTCAGTTCCCGACATTCACTCGAGAATGTCTCTTATCTATTCAATTAGATGAACTAGTAATTTATGTCATCCCTGACAATATACAAATAACTGTACATACATGAAACACTTACCCGATCCACTACCAACTCCCAGTACCCGCAGCTCTTCCTGGGTGTCCGAAGAGGTCTGGAGTTTACTGACGACCGCCTTGCTGAACACCTTGTCAACCCAGTCCGAGTACACGCTGAATTTTGCAGACCGGGAACAGAAAACTTTGAACGCTTTGACGTAGTGGTCTGGGTTTCCGAGCAGGCTCGGCAGCGAGTTGGCGTTCATATTTAGTGAAAGTCTCGGTACGATTGAGAGTGCAAAATGAGTTGGAGGTAGGTTACTCACTGCCTGGAGGATGGAGCTTTAACCTGATAGAAAATTTGAAGACTTTTGATAAACTGAAGAGTAATATGAGCAAATACCCTTTCCAATACGGGCGATTCACAACACTGTGCCTGCAAGAGTTTCCAACGCGTTGATCAATTATCAAAGAGCGCGAAATCTGTCGAAACTTTCCGAACGCGCATTGGGTCGACAGATTTCTGAGCATTGTGATTGGTCAATACGTTGCAAACTCTTTGAGGCGCACTTTTGTGAAACGCCCGTATAGGAAACTGAATGGAACCCAAAAGTCGACGTATACATACAGCATTTATTACATGTGTTATGACCAAAGATCAGATAGCACTGCGCCGTACGATCTTTGGTTATGACTCTTTCTCTGAGCTATAAAATTTTACTATAAAGAGGTGGTGCAATGTGTCTATTTACCATGGCTGAGAGGGAACGAGGCTGCCATATTTATACAGGAACAGAAGCAAGCAGGGGAGAAACCAGATATGTCTCTGGGGGGGTCAGGCCGGAGTTTTTTTAACGATTCATTTTTCCCGACAAACGGAAAAGATGATGATGAAACATTGCACAAATGACTTACATTGTTAACAGTGATATTGGTGACTTCAGTTGTTTTTTTTTATTATTTCCCCCTTAAGTTTCTTCATTTTTTTCTTTTGGTCTCAGAGCCCGGGGGACCTCCCCCGATCTGCGCCTGGTAAGGTCACGCTTGCCAAACACATATGGGTTGACCACCTATTGATAAGGGAATAAATAATATGTGTTTGGTCGGTCTTAGTCGTGCGTTTAAGACCGGTGCAGGAGAATGGACGCGACTGCCAGGGCAGTATCAGCGTTTGTTATCCCATAGAGCTACAATGGTTATCCTGAGCCAGGTCTTCAACGTTAGTTTAAGACCGGCCAAGCGCATTATTATTTATTCCCATTCATAATACTTTTTTATTCTTAGAGTCAAAAGAAGTCAACATATGATGGATTTCCAACGATATTGTTCCAAAATTTTGGGTGCATTTTCCCAAACACCTCTGTCCATATTATGGTACACTCCTTTTTAAAGTTGTACAATAGAATCTCCTTGTATGGGCTTGGTGCGCCTGGCTTGTTCTGCGTGCTGCGTCGCACGCAGACTCATGACCATCATAGGGAAAGAAAGTGTCTCGTATCCGTGTGCCAGCGCGTGATTTACGCACCGGGCATTATCAAATGTTAACACACGGTCAGGTTGCACGTTGTTGAATAGGGTGACTGTCTGAGGTATTTATGAATACCCATTCAGCTGTGGCCGAGACGTACGTCGTACCGTGATCTTTATTAAGTCTTGTTATGAAAATGGCCCAAAGCTCGCTGCAAATCAAATCTCAGATGTGGGCTACCTGGTACATATACATTTAAAGTGTAGATAAATTCAATGGATGACCAGCACGTTTGGCAGTTCCCCACAAACGGTAAAATATCGCCGTCTTGGTCTTAAAACAACACCTCCTAAATTAAATACAATTAAAAAAAGACAAGAAAGTAGGCCTACTTCGTATTGCGATAGGGTTTCTCTTATAACTGATATCATAACCCAGAGATAAAACATAGTGAACGTTTCACGGCGGAGAATCGTGCAGGGTTCCAAAAAAAAAGAATCGTGCAGGATTCCACAAAGTCCCTGTGTTAATTTGTATGGGTGAACGCACACGGTGAATTGCCATACACACGATGTGCACACAGTGCTGTCCCTACAAATGACTAAGTACACGTGTATTGTACATAATGAACACACACAGTGCGGGTACGAGAGCAATATACATGTACAGTATGTACATGTACTTATTCAGTCGTTACCACGATGTCCAATTTACTCACCCGTTAGGCCTGTTTTTGAAGAAATTTCCGAAAGTATATACACAAAAAAGCAAGGAAAGAAGAGGTTCTAAGTGTTCACTGGTCAAATTTATTTAAGGTATTTTGTAAACTCAACCTACTCTTCCAGAAATCTTCACAATCTTCATCATACAGTTTGCCCGGTTTGTCCAGCAGGTCTGTCTGTTGGCGTGCCCTTGGCCTTGGTTTGACCTATTCTGCGGGCTTTGTTTAGCCAGCTGGTATTATCAACGGGGGCTCAGAGGGGACACATAACGTCACCGTTTTCAAGAAGAGGCGACTGAGTTTCTACCAGAGAGTAAAGCCTGGTTTCCATATCGACGTAAGAAACGCAGAGAGCAACTCAATCAAGACGCAAACTGCAACGCAGACAAATGGAAACCTGTCAAACGGACGTGTCGCCATGCTCGCAAACCAGCCCCAGACGGATCGGCAAAGTTGAGCCCAGTTCAACCTTGCCAGCTGTAGTCTGCGTTGAGTAGCTGAGTAGCCAGTATACAAACGCACACGCTGGCTTGGCTTTGTACCACTCATGTTATCCATTTCTCCTCAGTTGCTAGTGTAGTGGTCCAGCCCTGCCTTAAACTATCAGAAGTTGATTCGTCCACCGGTGAAGGAGGATGATGGAGACTGAACATGCCGAAATAACGACCCCATACTTCTCGTCTTTACAAGTATTGGTGCATTTATTTATTCCATAACAGAGATCACACGTACCAGCTGACCAGTCCCAAAGTAAGTAGTAGTGCTAGTGGAAAGGACAGGTTGAGCCCCAGTCAAAAATCCCAAATGACGAAAAGTTACAAGTATAAAAGAAACCCAGTACAATTGAAAGAATAATGGACGTCTTTAGTCATGTAAAGGCTATTGTCATCAAGTACTGTACATGTACAGACATGTAAAGTTATACATGCAGCTTCAAGTGTTTGGCAGATCATACCATTCTACCTCCATGATCATACCGATACATAAAGGTTTCCGGAAAGTTACCACTAATTCCTTTAAACTAAACCCACCTTGACTGTTCGGGGATGATCTATTTAAGTGTGGGTTCCCAACCAAGCTGGACACTCTCGGTTTTCTGGGGTTTTAGCATCAAAACTTGTTGGTTTGTTCGAAGGCTCGGCGGAACACGTCAGCCATTGATCTTCAGAATGCAAAAACAAAAGACTAAATCCGGATGCAGGTTTCAGCGCAGCATGCAGCACGTAGGCTACGATGACGTCACCTTCATAAATTATGTTAATTTACTAAGCCCCGGATCTCCACACTGTACTATAGCTAAAGGGTGCAGTGT